GAGGTATACTCGGTTTTTACCAAACCCAAAAAAAGTGTGAACCAACATTTTTTATAAATTTTTAAAAATGCTAAGTCAATATTTTATCCGAAAGAAAATAAGGGATATAAATCCTCAAGATTTTGCTTATAGACGGCACAAAGGTTTGGACTGGCTAAAATCGTGAGTTAGCCGTTTTTAAATATCGGCTCAAAATCGATTAAAACCTATTCATTTTTATAAGTTAATTGGAAAATACATGCACGTTAACTAAGCTTTCTTTCATTTCTTTCTTTCTTTCTTTCTTTCTTTCTTTCTTTCTTTCTTTCTTTCTTTCTTTCTTTCTTTCTTTCTTTCTTTCTTTCTTTCTTTCTTTCTTTCTTTCTTTCTTTCTTTCTTTCTTTCTTTCTTTCTTTCTTTCTTTCTTTCTTTCTTTCTTTCTTTCTTTCTTTCTTTCTTTCTTTCTTTCTTTCTTTCTTTCTTTCTTTCTTTCTTTCTTTCTTTCTTTCTTTCTTTCTTTCTTTTTATATTATATTTTTAAAACAAATTATTTAATAAATTAACATATGATTTTACTGGTAATAGGAAAAAAAAACCCCTGAATAAAAACCCCCGGAAAAAAAAACCTCGAGGAAAAAAAATTTAAAAAAAAAAAAATCTTTATTTTTCTAACCTTTTCTCAATTTTTTTCTTCTCAATTTTCACTTAATTTTTTTTAGTGTAACCTAGCAATAATTAATATTGATAAATTAATTTTATAAGCGAATGCCACAATCATTAACAGCTGTTAGACTCCAAAAAAAAGACATAAAATATTTACGAAAAAATATTCGAAGTAAAAATGTCTAAATGTCAAGAACGGAATTTATTTCCTGATCCATTATATATGTACATGGATTTCGAAAAGTCTGCTATGAGCGCTGTTAAAACTGTCATTGGTATGATTATTAATATGTTAAATTATTTATATTTATTTTTTCAATTCGGAGATCGTATCATAATCAGAGGATCCTTTTACCATTTGTGTCAAAGTACCCATAGAAAAATTTAAAAGCTAGTTCTGGAGAGCCGATACAGAATCGATGAAGCCCTAAGTTTCTTTTGTGGCATGATGGACAGCTTAGCATATGTTCCTTTATGTGATATGGGCAATGCAATGGCATTCCTTAGATCGGTTACTCCGAGCAATGGTAAGGATATTCTTGAATATTTCGATAAAAATTACATCAATGGAGTATCAAGGGAGGTCACAAGAAGCAATTCTCAATCCCAGACAGGTCGAATTGGGCCTGGATTTCCTCCAGAAACTTGAATCAGAGTACTCTATCCAACTAATAACTCATAAATAATCAATGCGAAGGTTAGAATCATCGTTTTTCTAATCTGGTTGAAAAATGAAATGCGAGGTGGCTGCCAATGAAACCAAACTTGAACGATGGCGTGTAGGTAGTTGGACACTGAAAACAAAATCGCAGTGCTTAAACAAGAAAAAAATACTGATATTCAAATTGGTACTGGGAAAAAAAATATCCCAGTAAAATAACCCATGTATTACTTATTTTCGTAAAAATTTTTGCTATAGTAATAAATACAATATCCATCCTTAATTACTATATTGAGTAGACTAAATTTGACAAAATTTGCAATAAGATCTGTTTATTTTATTGATAAATCATTATTACGTATATAATTTATTATTAAATTATATTTTTGTAAAATTTTTTTCTAAACAACTAATTTGTCTATACCTTATATAAATCCAAATAAAAATATACCGATATTGTTAGATCTTAAGTAAATTCGAAAAAAAATTTCGGGGTTTTTTTTCCGAAGGTTTTTTCCGGGATTCGTTTCAACGCAGCGTTTCAAAACGCAAATAATGCATTTGGACACCATTTTTTTTTGTTTTAAATTTAGACGTTTCATATTTAAATGAATAATAAAATAAAAATTAACTGTTAAATTTGAACATAGCAGCTTTTGCGTTTTTTTATTTGCGTTTTTTTATTTGCGTTTTTTGTAAACGCTGAGTCGAAACGTTCAAATTTGTGCGCAGCGCACTAATAAGACAATGCAAGTTGGAAAAAAAAAACTATTTTTTTAGAGGATGGCTAAGGAGTAACTTATATGACCAGAACGATGTGCTAGAATATTTTTTTATTATTACAAGCATTAACACATATGGATAAAAATTTTGCAAAATATTCTAATCGATTGTTGAAAAGGTAAATATTAATAATTTCAAATACCTTTTAGAGCCAGCCAAATGCCCATGCTGAATAACTTTATCCCCAGAAGTGTATTGTGAAGGTGGCTAAGCCACCCGCCCCCCCCCAGAGAAGCTTAACCACCATCTCCCCCCCCCTTCTTCTTGCCAAATTTTTCCCCAAAAAAAGTCTAAAAGTTGGATCTCATTATTTATCTATGTTATAAAATTTCAAATTTTTGTATAGTTCAAAAAATAGAATTTTCTTTTATATTAACCATGTGTTATATTCAGAGTTGTTGTAAGGATCTAGATACAAGTATCCAGATCCAGTATCTAGATATAAAAATGTGGTATCTGTATCTGTATCTAGATAGATTTTTGATTAAAATATCTGTATCTAGATATTATTTTAGACAATGTATCTGTATCTAGATCAATTTAAAAAGTATCTTTTAACAACTCTGGTTATATTAAAACCAAAGACCAATAACAATAGGACAGTGATGACGGATTTTTAATCTTTTCACTTTTATTTTCCGAAGGTGCCGATTCCATTGTAGCGATGTGGATAGATATATTGGCCCGTTAGTATTTTAAAAATCAAATTTTTCTTTAAAAAAATAAATTTATAAACCTCGTAGAAATATTTAATGCTTTAATTTGAGGGTATAGAGTGAGGTCCACCATCATAGATGGCTCCGTTCTTGGAAGGTTCTGAACAGAAACTAAAAGGGCTAAACCGAATTTCTAAGCGAAAACTATCATCTTAGCCTGGATCGATGTTTAAACTAACAGGATAGCTAAGTACCCGTTAATGGGCAAGCCTCAAAGCACTCGTACCTAGTGTTGTTAAATGGCTCGTTCTGAGCCGATTTTTTAAAAAGGCTAACTCAATACTTTGGCCAACTGAAAAAATTTATCAAGTCTATTTATAAACAACACTTACAAGCATGAAATAGTCCAATCTCAACAAAATCTTTTAAAATTTTTTCAAAATAGGAATTTGAAATTTACGAAATGGTAGGTTTGTTTAGCTGCCAGGGATCAATCAATTTACTTTTAAAATTCTTTGCTTCTTCGATGTCATATTTATGAAAAAAAGATTTTAATCATTAGGAACATGTTGAAATAATATTTAAATATAAAGTAGGTAAATATTTACGGATTTTGCTTGATTCAGAAATTGGACTTTTAGTTAAAAAAAATAGATTGTGTTGATGATGTATAAGATATTCTCTTCTCTTTTGTTTTCTTTCCTTCTTTCTTTCTTTCCTTCCTTCTTTCTTGATATGTGAAGTGCGTGAATTTTAAATTGGTATATGACATTATTATTGGACCCAATAAGCTATAGTGATTTTTATTGGAGGAATATTTTTTTAAAAGAACATTATTGGATAAATTTGATTGACGTTTTTTTGAAAAAACAATATTAAAAATATTTATAATTTCTTTAGAAATTCATTCGGAAACTAGGGTAACAATGACTAAATTTTGACAAAATTATTTCTTTTCTTTTAGAAATTCCTTTACGATCTTTATTCATGAAGGAAATTGGCCAGGAATCCTAGATACACGATAAAGCGAGAAGCAATGAATCTGCCAAGAGTTCAAATTAAATGAACATGAAACGATTGCTAGACCCCTACAATATATCGATTGATGATAACTTTTTAATGAAAATTTTTAAAAAATTCTTCAACTGTGTGGATACCTTATCCTGCAGTACTGCTGAGTGTTAACTTTAATGTTCATAAGTTTTAATAAATCTTCAGCATCGGAGTGGATTTATGATCCATAATATCAAATAATGGGATGAAATCTTTTCAAAAAAAAAATACAATCCAAAGAAAACGAAGAAGATCAAGGATTATGGAAAATTTATTAATCCATATTTATATTTTTTTTTTTAATTTGTAAAGATATCCGTGGTATTAAGTTACATTATTTCTTTTAATATATAAAAAATTTATTAATATTTGTAATAATTTTATATATATCCCTATTTTATAATAGATAAAAATTGTAGCCCCTGCTTACCAAATCTTTAGGTATATGGAAGTGGGGTGGGGGGGAGAGGTTGAAAAAATAATGTTTGCCCAGATATGTTAGCAACCAGAAATAAATATTTATTAACAGACTCATGCCAGGGTCTAGGAAAAATAAATCTGGACCTACAGATTTCTTATATCCCAATGTTTATTTTATAAAAAAATAAATTTCAATGCTAGACAACAACTGTAATGTATAAAAAAAAATTCCCTTATATTGAATTGATTATATCATAATATAAATTGATCAAATATTTTTTGATCAAAATATCAATATCAACACCAACCAAATTGTTTATATTGGAATAACCCTACTTTGTAGTGTTGTTAAATTACATAACTTTGACCATCTCAATTGAGGCTTGCTTTTAGCCTAAAAAATTGAATTAAGACTCTTAGTTGAGTCTCAGCTTGAAGATTGATTGTAATTTTGGTATAAAAAAAGGCTATTCTGTAGGTAGTTTAAACAACACTACTTTAGGTTACAGTTACAACTTAATCTTGATATATTCTATAAAGCTCAGAAGGACAATTCTTTTTTAAATAGAAAAAAAATATAAACCAAATAATTAAACTCATTTTAAAATATTTATTTTTTATCATTTTATTCATGTCCTAACTTCATTTTAAAATTTCTGTAATAAAATCTTAGATTTTTATTATTTATTTTAAAAATGGATATAATCAACAAATTTAAAAAAAATAAATAAATATAATAATCAATATATTTATTATAATATTATATTTTGCATAACTTCAATGATTTAAAATGTAAATAAACAATGGTATTTGAGATCATAGACTTAAAAATATTTCGTCATAAAAATTATGGAAAAATATTATATTTTATATTAATTTTCAAATTCTAAATATAAGTACTTGGTTATATAAATATTCAAATTAATAAAAGGTGTGTCCAATTCTTTAATTGGTATCAATATGGTATCATTGCATTGACATATTATTTCACTTTGTGTATCTTCAGTTTGCCTAAATTTAGTTGGAGTAGATGTAAATAAGATTTCTTCATCTTTTAATAAATCAATATCATCCTCTAAAATTTCAAAACTTTTGTCAGTGATGGTGTCATCGAGAAGTCTTTTTTTACAATGTGTTATATCAATATCATTATCTGCAGATACCCATGGGAATTCAATATTCTTTTGAAGCTCTGCAAAAATAGTGGTATTTGTATGTTTCTTGATTTTATTAGAATTTTTGAAGTGTATAGGAATCTTTTTGGTTAAATTCTGAATCAAAGTAGTTATAGAAAAACTTTTGACATCTGTTAAATTAATTTTATAGACATCTTCTTGAACATAATCTTTACTTGTAGAAGGTCCAATATCTGCATTTAATTGTATGGTAATAGCATTCGATATTCGAGATTTGCAAGACAAAATCAAAAGAATAATATCACGAAAATGTTGTTCCAAGGAATCGACCATGTCATAAAGCTCATAACCAAAATCGTCTTGTTCTTTCAATCTATCATTGCTGACATGACCAATATCAAATGTGAATGTTTCTAATAAAAGTCTTGAATTATCATAAGCACGGTAACCATAAATATTAAAGTTTATGGTATTAAGAGCATTCTCTTTTATAATGAATTTGATCCCTTCTACTACATTGGTGATGTAATCTTGTGCTTCTGACCCAAAGCATTTATATAGAGGAATATTATAATTTTTAACTTTCGTGAATGCAGCCTTGGAATATAATTGCTCAACATATAAAATTTGGTGGAACACTGTCTCTAAAAAGTCCCCTAATATATCTGACCAACAAACATCAGGACTCTTTGGTAAAAACATAAACCGCAATCATGTGGTGCCTTAATAATAACGATTTGTTCGAAAAGATGTCAGGTTTATGAGAAGTGTATATTCATGTCATTATAATCGCACTGCTGACTTGTTTTGCTAGATTGTCATTTTAAAAACGGCCCGATTAAGATTATAACCAAAATAGCATTATGTAAGCCTAAAGATTTTGCTCATAGCTGGCAGAAATGTTTGGACATTTATTTGCCAAATCCTCGATGCTTACAGCTTAACGCCGCTAGTAGGTCCTCAGGGCGATATGGCATACAGGGCCGTAGCCAGGAATTTTCACTTAGGGGGGCCAAGTGCTTACTTGAGGGGGCCACTATTTTTTTAAAATCAAACAAATAATTACACATTCATAGAAATTTTTTCCTATTTTTATTAAAAATTTAATAACAAAATAATACTATAATATGAATATACAAAACAAAATAATACTATAATATGCATATACCAAAATATTACTATAATAGAATACAGCGATTTTTATTTTTAAATTTTAATATAAATGAACTAAAAGATAAATTCTGCGTTATTCTTTTTTCATACGCCATTAATACTAAATTTTGTTTACGTTTATCCTTCATAGACTCTCTACTGCTTGATAAAATTCTCTTTAATGTAGAGAACGAGGCCTCACAAGAAGCCGTTTATCGCTGCTGAGTAGAATTTATATAATTCTTTAAATGCATGATTATATTTTTTTTATACATAATATGTAAGATTTTTTCAAAATTATGATTTTCTTTAGCTTCCGAAGCTAGCAATCCTTTTGCTATCTTCATTTCATGATGCAGTGTTTGCATATTTAAGTTTAACAGGGATTTTAATGGGGCCATTTTATCTGATAAAAAATAATCAGGGTCAAGGGGGAGGGGCAATGTATTAAAAGATGAAAAAAGATTAAAATCATCTTCTGTAAATCGGTCTAATCAGTTTCTGAAATTTCTGATGTAGTATTACTAGTAGTTTGTAGAGGTGATGTTGCTTGACATTTGTTTAACTTTAACTTAAAATAAGAGTTAATAACTGATTATTTCTTCATAATTTTAAAATAAACGCTGTAAAATAAAATAACTGGTTATATATTATAATATAAATGTGATACCTATAGAGAATGTTATACACAACAAAAACAAATGAAAAAAAAATGAATGAAGGATAATTTAATATTGGGTAAAAATAAAAATAAAACTGGATAGAAAAATACAAACTAGACATATTTGTAGAATAAATATTCAAAATTTATTTTAAAAATATAAAAATAATCAATTCTAAATAGACATGTTTTTTGAATATTTTTGAATAAATATTTAAAATTTATATTAAAAATATAAAAATAATCAATTCTAAAAAAAATTTTCAAATTTGGGGGGCCAGAAAAATTTTTGGGGGCCAAAGCTTTTTTCTGGGGGCCAGGTTTGGGGGCCAAAAAATTTTTTTGGGCGGCCGGGCCCCCCCGGGCCCCCCTCCCCCGTGGCTACGGCCCTGATGGCATACCTTGATTTTGACAAAATATATTTATAATCTGTCTAAAATTATATTTTACTATTAACGTTTGTTTATGACATTATAAATAAAATCTATTCAACAAAATCTATTGCAAATCGAAACCAAAAATTTAAAAAAATAAAATTAATTCTATAACCGAAGACAATAATAAATTTATTTCTACCATATATTAAAGAGATAACATATTGGCAGTAATAATAGTATAAACACTATAAGAACCGTATTTCCCTCCTCAAATGAAATTAAACAACTTTCCTCAATTCCAATTTAAATAAAAAAAATTGCATCAGTAAACCTATCTTTTATCTTACACTTTGCTTCTTGTATAAGTTGTATGTTTGTTTAGCAAACTGGGTAAAGAAAAAGGAATTTATGAGCATTCTTATGAATTACAGAATAATAAACATTTTATATTTAGATATGTAGGAGGATATATTATTAATTGCCTATCATTAACTTTCAAAATTAGAGAATTTTAACCATTTCATTATAAATAGAGCGTAAGAAGCCATCGAAATTTACAAAGGACTTCAAAATTTTAAGCAAAATGAAGTATATTTGATCTTCTATTTACCATTATTTACTCGACATTATATTTAAGAAAGAAAAAAAATTCTTAATTATTTTTCAATACTAAAACCCAGGGTTGGCAAGTCGGTTAATTGACTGGTCAAATTCAGTCAATTGACCGAAGGAGTATTTGACCTGGTCAAATACAGTCAAATGCTATAAAAAAAATCTAAAGAATAAAAAATTAAAAATATGTATAAAACAGGAAAAAACGATATAAATATATGTGATCACAATGTTGCTTATTTTTTGGGTCCCCAATATCAAGAGGAGCATCTCACTAGTAGTGAATTCAATAAAGTATATGATATAAGTCAAAATTTAGTCATTTTACAAGGTTGTGATGACCAAAATATTTTATGTGATATAATTAAAATCAGCATGTTTAATAGCAAATTATGTGGAAAACAGTAATTTCCAGAAACAATCAACGACCTCAAGTTAAGAGATTAAAATTTGCCATCATGCCCATTAAGAGACTAACAATTCCTAGTTCTTCTAAAGAAATAGGTCGATTTGGGTTAAAATTCTTTTGAAAATAGAAATCGAAAGATCTCGTCAACAGGAAAATTGATTAAAAAATATATAAGAAAATGATAATATTAAATATGAGTCAGAACAAGACTCTGCTACAGAGAGCTAAACGTTAGTTATTGAATGACAATGAATTTAAAAAATTAATATTATAGATTCATTTTATAATTATATTTAAAATAAAGTTAATATTGACTTTAAAAAACATATATTTGAATTTTACCATAGTCAAATCAGTCAAATATGGTCAATTGACCGAAACGTATTTGACCGGTCAAATGCACAACCTTGCTATAATCTAATATTTTTTCTTTATTTTCCAATTTATTTTTTTTTATATATTTTTACAACTATTTTTCTATATTGTTTATATTTTAATATTAAATGATGATGCACAGTGTATAAAAAATATTATTTTTTAATTTTTATTAAATAGGATGGATCTTAATTTTTATATTTAAAAGCTAAAATTATTGACTGATCCATCATCGAAAAGAACTGGCCATTATGCCCAATGGGAAATTTCCCAAGAAGCTTAATGAAATACAGATTTTAGAGGTCTGTAAGGTAAAAATTTAGTTTATACGAGTAATATTTGTTGAGAAACATTTTCGCATTAATCTACGAGTAGTAGTGTTAAACGGTCCGGTCCGATTAAGATTTTCTGTAGAATAGTATCTCTAAGCTTCGAAGTTTGAATAGAGGTCCAAGCCTTTCCGCCTATGATAAAATATCCATGCTTACATAATATTATTTTGACTAGAATCCTAATTTCCGTTTACAAAAACTATTTACAAAAGTTAAATTACTTAATATTTTAAAAATTTACTTAAAATAATGTTCTTTGTTCTAGAGATCAAGGCATTCACAAAAAGAATATATTTTCATGCCAAATTTAAAAACAAAGAAAAGTTCTGCTAAAAAAATGGCTAAATGCAATGAAAATAACTTACTAAATATATTAAAATAATGCTTCTTAGTATTTTAAGAGCTGTCTAACTAAAATACTAATAAATAATATAGTAAATTCCTAAAAAATTAAACAATTTATTCATGATAACAGGTACAAACTTGATTTATAAAAAGGTTGTCTTAGAAAATATACCCATTATTGAGTAGTTAGGAAAAGATTTAAGATTAAAAATGTGATGACCAGAAAATGAGTTCAAAATATTTTTACGGCCTGGGGCGGACTTTTCATAAAACCTGCATGGATAGGGCCTAACTTAAAATTTTTCAAAGAACTATAATGGGTGGGGAGGTGTAATTTTTTTTTAAAAAAATACAACGATATGGGGCTGGCAAAATAAAAATTCGCCCAGGTTTGTGCAAAATATTTAACTAGTTGAAACAGGAAATGACAAAATTTTTAGACCAGGGCAATTTGGATTTTGACCGGCTAAGCCCAGTTTCAATTTTCACTAAGGTTTACCCAACACAGTTTTTAAATTTTTTTTTCGAAACACAAGACCTAAACCAAAATATGTTTGCTGAACATCAAAATAAGCAACTATTTATAATCTAGTGGAAGTGATTAAATTAAAAACACTATATTTTTATGGATTATTACTTGTATAAAATATCAGAATTTTAAAAATTCAAAAATTTTTGCCGGACCTCAAAATATTTTTGCCCGGCGTATTAAAATATTTTCAGACCTTGCCCAGCTCATACGAGGAATTGCAAATCACTAATCAGCACTAATTACCAACACTTTAATATTTTGCAGGGCAAAACTTAGCTGGTATTTTTCTATTTTCGTTTATCGTTGTTCCTGATAACCATTTTTAAACTTATTAACAAAATTATGATTTTAAAAAAGAAACCATCTTGATGCTTGCCAAGAATTCGGAAATCAAGTTGAATTTAAGTCAGAGGGCTCTCACTCTGAGATCTGATCGGAAAACCATACTTAAAATAAACTTATAAGGCCAGGTTTCTGACCTGTTAATTCCGATTACTTGCTTGATATACAGTTTTAAAATTATCGTTGATGATATAAATTAATTAAAGGATAGAATCTTAGATAATAATTTTTGTTCAAAGAGGGATTATGATGTGATAAAAGGTTATAATTATATCCAAAAAGATGGTAGGACATCTTTACATATATTATTTATGAATAGACAAGCTTTTTAAGACAATTTATTTATTTATCGTTTGATCATTGCATATTAAGATTTATAATTAATATTAATTAACAGGGGTCGGAATCATGTTAAATGTTAATATATCACAATTTATATATATAAAAAAACGGTGTCTATCATATTTAGTCGTGCATTTCGGTAAGAAGGCACAAATGCCAAAAAAATATTTTAAAAAAAAAATTAAATAAATAAATACTTTCAAAGGAAAGAACATTTTAAGAAAATAATTTTAAAAAAATTTGGTATTCTTGCTATTTTTATAATAAATATATATATCTGGGTGAAGGGTTGACGGCTATGAAGATGTCATTTTTCTTCCGTTCTACAAAATGCTAAACGCGGCATTTATAAATTGTTCGTACCCGAAATTAACGAATCCATCCCGATCAGTGTCCAGTTTACTGAATTCTTCCGTCAGCATCTAATTCGTAATTTATTGTAATAATATAATTATTTTTATATACTACATTTAATTTTCCTAAAAAAAATCTAAAATATCGTCTGATGCAAATACCAAATTTTTTTTTTTTATAATTATCGTCTGATAATCTGTAATATCGTCTGATGCAGGGTATCAGGGAAAATCTTTGCATAACGACATAATAATACTACTAAAACTGATAATTCGATCATTAAAATGTGTAATCAATATAAATCTGGCTACAACATAATTTCAAGTAAAATACATTGTATTCGTAGGTAAAGTAATTGATTTGATATTTATTAATCTGGTTGAAGAAATATACGAGTTATTATAAAATACGATTAAAATATTATAAATTTAATTTGTAATTGGGCAAAGATATGTGATTTAAATGTTATTAACTGCCAACTAAATATTCTCTGAAATACAAATAAAGGGAATTTTATCTAGTGTTGTTAAACGGCTGGATATGAGCCATTTTTGAAAACTGGGAAGATGAGGCTGGAATTATGAAATCTTTTTGCAGGAGGTAATTCAATCTTTCCATTTTCTATCATTTTGTATATTTTTGGAGTTAGCAAAAACACCTCCATCAGATTCACTGCCATAACTTCCAACATCGACAGTTATAAATTTTCCATTGGCATCCACAATTCCTTTGTTGTTACAATACTTAAATAATATATTTTTTCAAAAATTATATTTTTGTAATTATCAAGTTTTCATTGCAATGTTTAATTAATGTGGAAATATTTAATTAGCATAAACAAAAAAACAAATTCACAAACCTTGTAAAACCACAGAGAAAAAATGTTTAAAATTGTAAAATCCACTGCCAGAATGGGGTGGTTTCCTAATTCTGCAGTGTTTGCCATCAATGCTACCTATACAGTTTGGTAAATTCCACATTACTTAAAATTAAACCTTATTTTTTTAAGAGTGTAGGGAAAAGGATTCAAAATTCACCCTCCTTTCTTTTATTAATATTAAGATTGTTTAATCTCCTCCTCTTCAATATCATTTTGTATAAGAATAATAATTTGACCGATCCCATTTTGTGAATTAGTAAAATCGCTTTGCACTATGAATGAAAATCGTAACGATCGATACAGCTGATTGGTCGCTGGGATATCGCGGCTAAATCGCAATCGCTCTTCACTATGAATTCAGGGTATAAATTTTTCAACTATATGAGAATGACCAAAGTAATTTTATTCTATTTTATCTATAATTCATTTTAATTTAGGAAACCTTTTATTATATACCTAGGCATATAAAACCTTCAAATTTTATAAAACATCCTATAACTATTGAGAAAAACTTGTGGTTTGTTTAAAGGTAAAAATAAAGCAATTTATTATTTAAATATATTTTTTTATTTAGGTATTTAGCAACAGGCTTCCTACCTTGGTCTATTCTTTCAAAATGGGCATATCTACAGTTCAGAAAATTGTTAGGACAACATGCCAAACTATATGGCAAACGTTGGTAAGCCAACATATGCCACCACCCACTCTCTCTGATTTTGAGAGAATAGCAAAGGTATAATATAGTTTATATTATATTCATGTAAATTATTATTTAAGAGGAGTTTGGAGTAAAGTGGAATCTACCAAACTGTATAGGTAGCATTGATGGCAAACACTGCAGAATTAGGAAACCACCCCATTCTGGCAGTGGATTTTACAATTATAAACATTTTTTCTCTGTGGTTTTACAAGGTTTTCTGAATTTGTTTTTTTGTTTATGCTAATTAAATATTTCCACATTAATTAAACATTGCAATGAAAACTTGATAATTGCAAAAATATAATTTTTGAAAAAATATATAATTTAAATATTGTAAAAACAAGGAATTGTGGATGGCAATGGGAAATTCATAACTGTTGATGTTGGAAGTTATGGGAGTGAATCTGTTGGAGGTGTTTTTGCCAATTCAAAATTATATGATATGATAGAAAAGGGAGACATACAATTACCTCCTGCTAAAAGATTGCAGAATTTCAGCCTCATTTTCCCACATTTTTTTGTGGCGGATGATTGATTATAAATTGCAAATTTATATTTTAAAAAAAAAAAACAATTTTAAAAATTAAAATATCCGTGATTCACGGGAAATTTATGTTTCGCCCGGGAAAAATTTTGAGAAGACCTGTCACGCCCAATCACGCCTTATAATTTGAAATTTATTTACATTCACGCCGTGACCCACCGTGGCACGATAGGTCACACGTAATTTCACGGCCCGCGTCCAACTTTACCAGGCATATTATACTCCTGAGCTAATATACCCCAATATTTTGTTTATATATGTAGTAATTTTTATAATAAATTATTATGCTAATTATAAAAGCATTCGTATTCTTTTAACTGAAAGAATGAAAACAATTTTATCTATTTTCTAAAAAAAAAAATTCTTAACTTTAAATCATAATTTAAACTCGATTCTTTGGTTTTATATCGTCAAAAAAATGTAGCCAATTGAATTCATTTCAAATAATTTAAAATTAGCGCTAAATTTATCAAAATCTGCATTATTTCAAAATCACGTGATAAACACAAAATGATATGCATTTTTAAAAAATCGTGCTGTGAATGCGATATGATATTTACTGTATTTTGTACTTATCGCGGCTAAATCTCAATCGCAATCCTACCTATGAATCCAGGGGTTATAATAAAAACTTGTTTGATATTCTTTTAAAATTATGCACTAGAACGTTCTGACATGCCCTTATCCTTAGGACTTTCGTTAGTTTAGGGATTTCGGCTTTAACTAAATATGACTAAATCGTGGGCAGTTTCAACAAAAAAAACCCTCAATAATTTGTATTTTGGGTTGGGGGGTGTATATAATTATCCGTCTCCGCTTGATAAAATTTATTTTCAACCAAAAAATAATTTATTCCGTTTTATAATTTTATAATTCGTAATAAATTGCCTAATAAAAAAAATAATAATTCTACTCGAAAAAATATACGGCAGGTAAAAATTATGTGAGAGTACTATTATGCCTTGTGGTAGCAATGGTATAAATTATCTCAATGACATAATAATAATAGCTAGACCGACGACGCATTCGTAATAATGTATTTGAAAGTGCGCTGAATGCAAATCAGCTGGGCCCGCCATTTTGGTAACCCGTAATCTCGATCAGGCAATTCTTTAATAAAGTTAGCGCCAGACATGGGAAATAAATTGGCCTCTCGTTTAAAATTTTTAATAATCATTATGGGTAAACAAAATGGCGTCCCCAGCTGTTTTCGTTGATGTAAACTTCTAATGAACGCATCGTCAGTTTAGGTATTATTATATGTCATTAACTTAAAAGGAGTTTTAATTACTAAAACACAGTTACACGGTAAAAAAAATAATAACAAATTCATATTCATAAATTTAAAAGAAACAATTAATTGAATTCTTTATTAAATAATATGCCACTGTCTGGGTCTGGTAATATATATGTTAGATGTGTTTTTCTGCAACGTGTTATTTTTTCAAACTTCAAATCATCTTTTTAAAAATCTGATTTTACCGAAAATGTATTCCATCATGTTTGGAATTACCTACCCTATGAATTTTAGACAATTTTTCCAGGAACTTTTGAAATTTAATATAATTTATATTAGATTTTTCCATATATTTTTTTTTGACTCAAAGGTCAACATCAAAATTGTGCACATTTCATAAGATAGGTAATCCAAACATGAGAGACTATATTTCCGAGAAAAATACGATTTTTAAATTTAAAAAAAAACGCGCTCGAAAATGATTTAGAGTTGTAAAGAAAGAGAAAGAAAAAAAGAAAGAAAGAAAGAAAGAAAGAAAGAAAAGAAAAATCGAAAACATGTTTTTTTAAATATTATAATTTATGGAACAAAGAACGAAGCCAAGCATTTCAGGCTAAAAAATATATTATTATAATTAAGTTAATCTTGGGATTATTGTGCACTAAATCCTCAACAGTGATTATTCCGTATAACTTAATAATTAAGTCAAAAATCTAAAGTTGACATTTTTTTTTAAAAAAAATAAAATAAATATATAACTTTCAGTGCCACGAGACATTGAATAAAATCGTCAAAGTAAATGTCGCCCTTCCTTTGTCTATCAAATTTCGTCATGAAGAGGTCGTACGTTTTGTTGGATAACCGGTATCCTTTATCGTCATCATAAAATAAAATTGTTTTTAAAAAAAATTCGTAAGATATTTTTTGTAATAAGCATGATTCTCAGTAACAAGAATCAAGTTTATTATTTTTATCAGCGGGTGACTCAGATGAGGGGTGCGGATATACAGAAATTTCGGATCGATTTACTCTATTTCCGGTTTTTAGAATTTCATTTTATTTTATTCATTTTTTTAAAAAAAAAATCCTTATATTATATTGAATAAAATGGAAAATCGTGACAATATTTTCTTACAGACGAAAAACATGGATCCTGTTTTTTGAAAGCTTCCAAATTGTAGCGTTCCTAGAGGAACTTATTGAAGTTTCAAAGAATCCTATTTACTTTTCAAAATATTTTGTAATAATTCGTGACTGATTTTAGGATGAACGTTGTTGAATAAATGCAATGTAACTTTTTTTTAAAAAAAACACATCTCAAACAATTTACATAAATTTTCCCAAATTTGGTCATAATATAAAGAAAAGGAAGATGCTATATTCCTAAAAAAATTCAAGTCTTAATATTTGATACTCGAGATATAAATAATATCGAATGATTATTCATTTTTTAAATCATTTAAGATGACTTAATTTATTGATTTTAAATGTATAAAAAAAAAAATTTTTTAACATCTTTTTTCTTTTATTAATTATTTTAAAATTTTTAATTAAAACATTCATTTTAAAAAAAAAATTTTAATTTTGATATCTTAGTGACTGAGACTGACCTATGATGTTGCATCAATGTAGCAAATCACTTTTAGAGGCCTTCATTTATTTTTGATAAACATGATCTAGATGTATGTAGTGTTGTTAAACGGCTTGTTAAGAGCCTATTTTTTAAAAGGGCCAACTCAATATTTTAGCTAGAAAAATATTACCTAAGCCTGGAAATTTCGATAATAAATAACTAGAGCTTTGTTCTATAAGCATAATTTTCAGGGTTGCGTAATATTTTTCTGGATGAAATATTAAGTTGGCCGGTTTTAAAAATTGGCTCAAAACGAGCCGTTTAATAACACTATCTAGATGGATGGTTGAGTATAAATTTATTAAATATAACATCTGTGCCTACATTTCCCATTCCATAATAGGTTAAATTATTATAATGCAGATGAAAAATTGGCAACAAATTATTACATATACCACTTTATTTACAGCATACAAATAAAATTTACAGTCATTTTCCATCTAAATTATTAAAATTTAAGATGAACACTTTGAAAACAATAATGATTTATAATTTTAGCATTTTCCCCAAACATGTGAGATTTTATATTTCCTAAATAACCCTAATTTGTTTTCTTACAATTTCTTGATGAGTAGTGTTGATTCTGTTTCCAATAAACAGCACCTCCATTTCTGTAACCTCTGGTAAAGTTATGTTTCTGAATCACTGTGCAATCTCTTATTAACCCCTTTATTGCTTCACCTATAAAAACTTAAATAAAATAATCAATGAGATTGTTTAAAATTTTTTTTAATATAAAAATACAAAAAATTACAAAATAATTTATGAATGGGGAAGAGACATTTTTTGTCCGACTGTTTATTACATAAACATTTCTTTTCGCGTTATTCCATAGCGATACTTTGCAAATACAGCATTCCCAGAATGTGCTAATTTTGTTTATTTTTGATGCAACAGTGGTAGCACCGCTTACTTAGTATTTTCCCGAGGGATTCCGAATCACTGGCAAGAATTTTAATGGGAATAATGATCCGATACATTTTTCCTTATATCGCCCCAGTCCACATATTTTTTTTTATGAAATTTTTGCAGGAATCGATAATGAATTGATTTGCAAAGATGACGATACTCCCAAATCAATAATTATTCGAGATAAAAAATTCTCGATAATTTTTTAGCCGAAATTTGTTCATAGTAAGTAAATTTATTTTGAAAATGCAATCATTAAATATAAACAAAATATTTTAATTACGAATCGCGAAACAATCGACAATAGGGGCATCAAAAGGCGCGTCCAATCACAGTTTCGCCCGATGGCAGATTCCATAATGGGTTTTATTATAACGATTCCAGTAATCTTACACAAACTCATATTAGTTGTGTAATCCTTAATGGAGGTTGTTGGGCAGGGAATTTGTGGAATAGCTACCGTCCTTTTCTTTGCGCGCGATTAATCGCGAATCAGAGACGTCATGGAAATCGCTGATTAACAGTACGGACTCAGTTTCCATCCACGTAATTTTTTTTATCATCCTTGAAATCTGGAAGATTTCCGCGCGTCTTTCTTATCGTTCCGCGGGAATCAAACCCCATATTTTTTTTAGATCTACCATCAGGTCAACACTTGAAAAATAATTATCAAAATAAAGCTTATGGTGTCCCACCAATTTTTTGAGTCAATAATTTGACTAACGATTCATCGAGATTTTTTGTTGTATTATTTTTTCCCGCTTATATATACAGCCATTTTTGTCAGCTAAAGACCATATTTTAAAGCCTAGTTTTACTAGCTTATTGAGGAATATATTGTTTGATTGAATGACCTCCCAAAACAAAAATATAGTAAATAATTTATTAATAAAATTCATTACATTTAAATAGAACCACGGTCTCATCATATGACATAACTTCACTGGGGTTGCCAAGGGTCATAAATTTGTTTATTAAACAATTTAATATGGGTATAATTGTAGATAATTTATAATGGAGTGAAGTAGTCGTCGATATGCATGTGTCAACCATAAATGGCGACACATTGACCAATGATCATGTGTTGATGGAAATCCCGTAATTCCCATCAACAGAATGATCCCCAAAAAAATTTTTAATTTCTTCCTTTCCGACAACATTTATTTTCCTCTTCCGCTATCACTATTATCAAATCATCATTAAAAAAAACAAGAAAATAAGCAATAAGGGCCTTTGTCATTTAGACCTCTTATATAATCCCCAGAGCTGTAATCTCATCTAAATAACCAATTTAGAGAAAATATTGCATGTGCTGATTATACAATTTGGCCTCAAAGTACCTCACCCTATTATAAATTATATAAAATTATGCCCATAATAAGTTATTTTTTAAAAAAACAAATAAATTTATGACTCTATACATACCCCAGTGAAGTGTTGTTCTGTTGACGAGACCGTGGTTCTATTTAAAGGTAAAGAATTTTATTAATAAATCATTTGTTTTTAAGACGTCATTCAGCCATATTCCTAGTAAGTCGGTAAAACGAGGCTTTAAAATATGGTCATCAGCTGATAAAAATGGCTTCCTATGTACTTTTAATGTGTATGTAAGTAAAAAACATAATACGACAGCAAGATTGCGAATCGGTAGTCAAATTAATGACTAAAAAATTGGCGAGAAAACACCATAAGCTACATTTTGATAATTAGTTTTCAAGTGTTGACTTGATGGTAGATCTAAAAAAAAATATGGGGTATATGATTCCTGTGGAATGATACGAAAGACGCGTGGAAATCTTCCACATTTCAAGGATGATAAAAAAAATATAAAAGTAGGAGATAGTCAATATCTCTTCCTATATTTTTATTAGGTTTAGGTGTAGTTACCACTGAGTCCATATTGTTAATTAGAAATTTCCATGACGTCTGATTTGCAATCAATCTCGTGCAATGAAAAGGATGGTAGCATTATAGAAGTTCAATGCTCAACCGCAATTAAGCATTACACAACTATGAGTTGTGTAGATCACTGGAATAATTATATAGCCCTTTATGGAATCCGCCATTGGGCAAAACTATGGATGTGCATTTCCTTTTCTAATCGATGCCACTATTGGCAATAGCTTAGCCATTCATAAGTAAAATATTTGATTTATATTAATAATTGCATTTTAAAATTTTTAGGGTAATATTTTCAAAATAAATATACTATGAAAAACTTTGGATTAGAAATTATCGATAATCTTCTATCTCAAAAAATTATTGACTTGGGAATATCATCATCCTTGCAAAGCAATACAATATCGACTCCTGCAAAATTTCATAAAAAATATGTGGCTGATGCTATAAAGAAAAGGGGATCGGATCATATTCCCATCTTGCTAGTGATTCAGAACCTTGGGTAAATACAAAGCTGTGCTACTAGCACCAAAAATAACGTAGTATATCCTGGAAATTTTCTATTTGCAAAGTATCGCTATCTATTAACATGAAAAGAAATTGTTTTTTTTTTTAATTTATCAGATCCTCCTGGGCTGTATTTTAATTTATAAATTTGGCCTGGTCATATATTTTAAAACCAAATATTTAAAATCGCCATTATTAGTTATACAAATCAAAAATAAATAAAATATATTTTAAAAAAATCAGGGCCAGGCCTGAAAATTTTTCCCTAAGTCGGACCAAAAAATTTTTTTAAAAAACCAGATCTAGTCAGGTTTTACAAATGGTACCTCTGCAGGTTACTGATATTTATATAAGACACAGTCAGATAAAAAATGTCCCTCTCCCATTTATAAATTATTTTGTATTTTATATTATAAAATTTAAATAAATATCTAGAAATAAAATTTTAAACAATCTCAGTGATTTTTTATTTATGTTTTTATAGGTTAGGAATAGAGGGGGGTTTTTTATAGTTGAAATGTAGAAATAAAGAATTAATAAGAGATTTCACAGTAATTCAGAACCATAATTATACCATAGGTTACAGAAATGGTGTTGCAGTTTATTGGAAACAGAATCAACACTACTCATCAAGAAATTGTAAGAAAACAAATTAGGTTTATTTAGGAAATATAAAATCTTATATGTTTGGGGGATAATGTTAAAATTAAAAATAATTATTGTTTTTAAAGGGTTCATGTTATATTTTTATAATTTATATAAAAAATGATTATTAATTTTATTTGTATGCTGTAAATAAAGTGTTAGTATATGTAAAAATTTTGTTGTTGCCAATTATTTTTTTATGAATTCTTCATCATCATTATAATTTAACCCAGAGATTTTATTTTGCAACACCACTTTTATATTTTTTTTTAAAATTCATATTGAATTATTATAATTTACCCAGAAAATGATTATATATTGTGTTGGTATGCTGAAAATAAAGGATTAGCTTGATTCATATTAATTTTTGTAAATAAATTATTGCCAAAATTTCATATTACTGTAATACATATTACAAATAATTGCTTAATATTTTATCAACAAATTTAGGCTAAATTCATAATGGGATCCAATCCAACATGATTTAATAGCTGGTCAATTTTAAAAATCTGTTTATTAGATCAATTTTTAATTATTAATATTTTTTTCCCCCAATTCATGATAATAATCTATTAATTATTGATTTTAATAAGGAAAAATTAATCTGATTAAAAGATTTTATAAATAGCTTAGCTGTTAATTGTGTAGGATTGGATCCCACTCTAAATCCAGCTTTAACAATTTTTTGGTGATTGTAAATATTAGTTATAAATAAGGTTTTCATTAGATACAGAGATAATTTTTTATAAAGAGAGCATATATACCAAATGAGGTTAAAGTTTGATTTAATTCGTCTCGGGATATACTGCCAGAACCATCTCTATCATGTGTTTTAAAGATTGCTTGCCAATCATTAACATATTTCCAAAGAGCTTGAAATTCGTTAAAATTTAATTGGCCTCTTTTATTTATATCAAACATGGACATAAGTAATTTAATCGTATCTATATGAAAAGGTTCCCACGAACCTAATAAAAAATATGGGTTACTATATTATGTAATTATAAGTAAACCATTGGATAAGCATTGCTGCAATTCTGAGGATGATATTAATCCACTCCTATCTTTGTCTACACTAAAATATTACCTTATAAATATTGTAATTAGTTAAAACATTACTATTGAAATATTTTTGTGAGTTGAGGATCTTGATTTTGACACTGGTTTTGGTACATGCTAGCACTGAATGTACTCGAGTTTTGATAAAAATCCAATGATTGATAACTGTAGTAGGATTTGAAGGGTTACGTGATATTCATAATTTTAATGAATCAGTTTTGTTGAGACTAAAAAAATAAAACCGTTTTAATACAAATTATTCGTTGATAGATAGGCTGCTAAAAACCTGCCCATTTCTGAACTTCTATTTAAAATTTAAACAGACCTTTGAAAAATCAGCCATATTGATTTTATTTGCATAAAATTAATAGCATTTATAGTTGAAGGAAATTTCATACTTTCATCTAAATGGCCTCCATAACAAAGATGGTATGCAAAATTTAAAAAAATCTGGAATATGCCTATTTTTACATCCGGTGGTAAATATTATTTTATTTTAATCATATTTATTTACAGATTATATGAACATTATAGTTACTCCTAAGACTTAAATTGTAAATTGTAACATTGGCAATATAACCCTTCCATAATCAAAACTTACTTAATCGGGCATGGGCTTTTATCTGTCCCTTTTACTTCCCATGGGCGTTTAAGTGAGTGGCTTTGCCACTTACGCGCACAGGTAACTGCGGCCTGCCCAAAAATCGTGGATGGTCCTCTTAATTATTTTCCCATTTTTTATCCCAGTTTGATGGGTTTTTTCATAAGAGAACCAAGCGTTGCTCTGTTGTATATATAACTTTTGCTATATGTACGACGTTTAGGGTTAGTGCGCTTAATATCACGTATCACGTATAGTTGAAGGAAAAAATGAAATCTCTCATTCCTTTTACTTTAAAAATATTATTTTTTAATTTATTTAATGATCAACTTTAAAAATCCAAATGAAGGGTAATAGCATCACATGGGTATTTCATATTGATATAAATAATAAATTAATAAAGTTATTCTTTTTTAATATAAAAAATATATATATAAATGAAATATTGTTCTATATTAAGATCGAATACAAAAAAAATGAACATTAATTTTTCTATTTTTATTAAAGGAGTAATTTGTGCAGGGTTGGGCAGTATCGCAAATATTTGTATCTAAGATACAAGATACTTTTGTATCTTAATTTTGGAAAGTATCTTGTATCCAGTATCTAAGATACATATTATTTAAAAGTATTTGTATCTTAACCAAGTTTGTATTCAAAAAGATACAGATACTTTAAAAAAATTTATAATAGTTAATTTAAATAAAATTTAAAATGATATTGTTTTAAAATTTAAATGAAAAAATTTAATCAGAATTTAGATATTTTAAGATAATTTATGATATATGACGTTGGTCTTCATATAGCAATTTGCTAACAATTATCTACCATATTTTATTTGAATCGTTTTATAACCGTCTATTTTTAAATAATGGAAGAAGAAAATAGAATAATATGTTTATATCCATCTTTAGAATATCCAACCGAAAAATATAACTATAAATTTAAATTAAGTATTTTAAATGGGAAATTTTTTGGTTCCATGTCAATTCAGCGAAACTTTTATCGCGAAACACTTTTTCTTGAAACTTTTATCGCGAATAAATTTTATAGAGAAACTTTTAGCGCGAATCCACATTAGCAAATATTTTTCCGCGAAAACAATATAGCGAAACAAATATCGCGAATCTTTTATAGCGAAACTCTTATCGCGAAACCATTAAAGCGAATACATTAGAGCGAAATTTTTATCGCGAAAATTTTATAGCGAAGTCAAAATCACGAAACATAAATGGCGAAGAAAATATAGCGAAAACTATTTCGCGAAATATAACGCGGCCTATTATTATTTCTTTATTTTTATTAAAATAATTTATTTTATTTATATTTAATGTTAATATTTTATTTATCAACAAATAAACGTATTATATGATATATATTTTTTATTTATATTATTATATTATGAAATGAAAAATGGATTTCTTTTATTTGATATTATTTTAATAAAAAAATGGATATGCTACTATTTTAATTTTATTTTTGTTACAAGTGATTTTTTCACACGCCCAAAATTTTAAGCAAAAAATATTTTTTGAAGTACAAAAAGATTTTTAAACATATTTTGATAAAAATTTATCTTTTTTGAGGAATTCTTTTGTGAATTTTAGTATAAATAAACAATGTTTTAAAATCTTTTATAGTTTTTTTTATCATTTTTGTAAAATTATCTATTTTTTGAGTATATTAAAAGATGTGGGTTTTCAAAATAATATTTTTTAAAAATATTTTTATTTAACTTATTTATGTATATGATCTTTTTAAGGATAATAATTTAATCTGACAATTTTTATATTCGTTTTTGAAGATGTTCCTTGGAAAAATGACAATTATCATAATCGGTATTTTTAAATATATTAGATTTTTTTACGGTAAAATATGTATTTTTATCATGTAAAATTAAAATTTTAATTAAGATGCACCATATAAAAGTGACAATTATCATAATCGTTATTTTTAAAGTTTTTTAAATTTATTTGACGTAAATCGTTTAAAATAAGTATTGTTAACATGTATTAATAAAACTTCAGTGAAGATGTACCCTAGATAAGTGACAATTGTCATGATCCTTATTTTTGAAAGTTTTTTGAATTTTATTAATGCAAATGGGTAAAAATATAGATTGTAAACTTGTTAAATTAAAATTTCATGAAGATGTACCACAGAAAAGTTATAATAGTAATAATCGTTATTTTTAAACTTTTTTTGACGTATATGGGCCAAAATAAGTATTGATAACATGTTTAATAAAAACTTCAGTGAAAATGTACCCAAGATAAGTGACAATTGTCGTAATCATTTTTAAAGTTTTTTGAATTTTTTTGACGCAAATGGGTAAAAAATAAATTGCTAACATGTTTAAATAAAACTTCAGTGTAGATGTACCCTAGATAAGTGACAATTGTCATAATCGTTGTTTTTAATGTTTTTGAATTTGAAATGATTTTATGTGTAGAGAAAAACGAAAACAAAAAAATATATTTTATTTACTATATATATATTATCTAATAATATAGATTAGAATACATATAATCAAAACGAAAAACAAAAGTAATAGTAGATAAAAATTAAATTATATAAAATTCAATTGTAAAAAGTTGAATTGTAAAAGGTTAAATCGTAAAAGGTTGAATTGTAAGTCAAAAAGCAAAAATGAAATAACAGTACAAATTTGAATATATAACAGAATTGTTTGACACAATCGGACAAAAATATAAATTGTTAACATGTTAAAATAAAATTTCAGTCCAAACAAAAAAACAAATCGATATTTTTATTCACATAATCGTTGTTCCTTTTATCCTGCTTAAAATTAGATAAAAATATGCAAAGTGATTTTTAAAGATAGTTGTAACCTATGTTAATTTCTAAACTTTTATGATATGGGTTCACAATCTTATTCCTTTAATTAATAAATTTTAATTCTACATTATAAGAATGTATAACCTTGCATTCACAGTTAGCAAATATTTTTGTATACTCTTGGCAAAATAGTGTTGAGTCTTAAATCAGGGTAGGATTATAGAAAGATCTTAAAACCCATATGGATATTATTTAATAATATGATATAATTCCTACAAATTTAATGTTAAGATTTTATTATGGTTAAAATGGATTACAATCTATATTTTAACCCATTTACATCAAAGAACTTTAAAAATAACGATTACAAAAATTGTCACTTTTCAATAGTATATTTTCGTGAAATTTTAATTTAGCATGTTTACAATCTATATTTTAACTCGTTTGCAACAAAAATATTCAAAAAAACCTTATTAACAACGATTATGACAATTTTCACTTTTCTATGGTACATCTTCATGAGATTTTAATTTAACATGTTTACAATCTATATTTTTACCCATTTGCGTCAAAAAAATTCAAAAACTTTAAAAATAACGATTATGACAATTGTCACTTATATAAGGTACATTTTCACTGAAATTTTATTTTAACATGTTAGCAATACTTATTTTAGCCCATTTAGGTCATAAAAATTTTAAAAAGTTATAGAATAACGATTATGACAATTGTCACTTTTCTATGGTATATCTTCTTTTTAATATAACATGTTTACAATCTATATTTTTACCCATTTATGTCAAAAAAATTCAAAAACTATAAAAATAACGATTATGACAATTGTCACTTAAATAAGGTACATTTTCACTCAAATTTTATTTTAACATAATAGCATTACTTATTTTAGCCCATTTACGTCAAAAAAATTTTAAAAAGTTATAAAATAACGATTATGACAATTGTCACTTTTTTATGGTACATCTTCATTTTAAAATCTATATTTATACCCATTTTCATTAAAAAAATACAAAAAACTTTAAAAATAACGTTCTTTACAATTGTCACTTATCTAGGGTACATCCTCACTGTTTTATTTAAATATGTTATCAATACTTATTTTGGCCCATTTACTTTAAAAAAAGTTTAAAATAATGATTATGATAATTGTCACTTATCTAGGGTACATCTTCACTGAAGATTTATTTAAAGATGCTAACAATATTTATTTTAACCCATTTTAGTCAAAAAAATTCAAAAAACTTTAAAAATAACGATTATGACAATTGTCACTTTTCAATGGTACGTCTTCATGAAATTTTAAAGCATGTTTACAATCTATACTTTTACCCATTTACAACAAAAGAATTCAAAATAAACAACGATTATGACAATTGTAACTTATCTATGGTACATTTTCACTGAAATTTTATTTAAACATGTTAGCAATACTTATTTTAGCCCATTTACCTCAAAAAAATTCAAAAAAGTTATAAAATAACGATTATGACAATTGTCACTTTTCAATGGTAGATCTTCATGAAATTTTAATTATGCATGTTTACAATCTATATTTTTACCCATTTACAAAAAAAAAATTCCAAAAACTTTATAAACAACGATTATGACAATTTTAACTTATACCTATGATACATCTTCACTGAAATTTTATTTTAACATGTAACAACTTATATTTTTGACCATTTACGTCAAAAAAATGTAAAAAAAAACTTTAAAAATAATGATTATGACTATTGTCGCTTTTATATGGTACATCCTAATTGAAATTATGATTTAACATGTAAAAAATACCGAT